GTACCTCAATGGGCTCGGCCATTCGGGCTCTCAAGCTTGTTAGCCCGTGTCGGATTGCTCGTGACCGAGAAGTCATGACAACTAGTGAAGTCATACTAGCTCAGGTAAAGACAACGTGCTTTGCTGATCGAGTGTTAGCCAGAGAGGTCCTCCATGCGGGGAAGCAATTGGGCATAGCATGGTCTGAACTTGAGTTACCGTAATCTGGCACTGTTGTGCTAGTGCTGCCGAGGTCGCGAACGTCGAGCGATACAGTACTCGAGTACAAGATCTTCAATTTTGTCGAATGCAATTTTGAATGGTAATGAGAAACTGCCAACAGCCTACTGGTAGACGCCGCCCACATGTGGGAACCAGTGGAAACCCAAGCTTACATTTGATTGACTCTGTCCATGATTGAGGGACAACCTTGTAAAACCAACTTGGTAGAAACCACCCAGACCCGGAGAAATGCGCCTCATGGATGCACTTTATTTGTACTTAAAGAAAGATGGACTCGGACTATAAGGATTAAGATCAGGAAAGCCCTTTATGATAAAGTTAATTGATTCATAGTCAACTATACAAAGTTGACTGGAAAGCAAGCCAAACGGGAAGACAACTAAAAGGGAGTAGGAAATAAGAAACGTTGTACCGATTTAATTTTCATATGATTATCATATGTCCCTCGAGACCTTGGGTGAGCTTGTTTGAGGCAATTACTTCAAGGACACTGAAATCCCGGCAATTCAGAGATCACGTGGAGAGTTAGACTCATAGTATCTCCAATACGCCCTTTAGTTTGTGTTAAAGATATGATAGGACTGGATGCGTCGTAGCCCATATTCCATAACTTTTTTCGTTTAGATATTCTAAGGATTGAGCTAATCTTCAGTACAAGTATGATACATGCTTCTATATTGTATGAGTAATGTATGTTTCTTCCTTGAAGGTAACTTAAAGATGGTACTACAGTAGGGTAGGTGAAATGTCATAAAAATTAATAGAAACTGACAAGCCCAATGCGGCCCCAAAAAATGTAAGTTGTCTACCTTACTCTCCTCTTTCCTACCCTAACCAAACGAACAGTAAAGACGCAAAGCATCTAAAACATATGATACCACATTCGTCTTAATTCTTTATTAAATTATCATATGATACTGTATATATTTTGTTTTCCTTCATACACTGCATACATCCATTCCTTGTAGTTCTTCTGTCGTAATATATAAACTACATATTTAAATAATCATCAATATAGATGTCTATAATCAAAAATATATCTTTTTTAATAACATTCTTGTATATTCTACTATTACCCAGGACCAAATTTTCTTCCTTTACAGACTCAAATATCTTTTGAGAATGTGTATTCCAATTATAGGCTGAGATACACCGCAGAATAGGGCTTTCGTTCTATATAGAAATTGGTTTTTTACCAAGATCTCCAGGATGATCATTAAGAGCTGGATATTACTCTAGTTTCAAGTTTAGGTCTATCTCGAGAACATCAGTGGCTACTAATACTTGCTGCCCAACTTTCAAAGTCGTATCTCCATTATTGATAAAGATATTCAAATATAGGCCTGGTTTTCCATTTTGTTGCGACATGTGGACGGTTCCCATGAAATACACTCGAGCTAACACCACCTATCTTTCTTCTCCCTTTTGTGATCCCTTCCTGCTAATCCAATTGTGCTAACTGTACTATCCTTCTATTATTCCTTTAGACGTAAATTACAAAATCTTCAAATAAGTCTTTTTCCTGTAAAGTTTCTTCGGTTTCCTCCCACTTGACCTCACAATCTTTCTTAATACTGCCTTGGCTACCGTACATAACTATATAATCCAAGTCCTCGTTGTGCTCAGTTTTTGGTCTCTGTCCCCTGCTGTATTCTGTTTCGGATTCGTACTTGAGTCCTTCGGCAGGCACCGGTACACTCAGGTCTATCGGCTCGTAGTCCTCTTGCTTAATCCCACCAACCTGTAGCCCGGTTGGTGGTACAACTGCCACCTCATGCTCTTGTTTCACATCGCATGCCTTCATGTCTTCATAGAGCACTGTATCTTCACGCTTAGTGCGATGTTCGACCTTCTGAATGTTGTCTCCTTCTCCAACCGGCTCATCCAGTGACTTATTCAGGCTAGATATGGGAGGGTAGAGTATCCGTTCTTTAGAATCGATAATCTCATCCCCGGGCTTTGTATTTAGCACCAGTCTACCTTTACCATGTGATGCATGGACTGCCGGAATTTGTTCCATCCCCACTGGTTCAGCCCTTGATTCAATCCTCTGAACGCCGTTCACACCATCCTTTTTGGCGTCGGGTTTTTTTCCAATCGGGTGTCTGAGAATAGCCTTCCTCGGTTCCGAAGCCGTTGCCTCGGGACACCATTTATAACCTGTCCCCTCACGCAGAAGCCTCTCCAGCGTTGGAAGCCCATCGTCATCATCGCTCAATCTCTCCCCGTGGATTTTTCTGGATACGCTTTGGCCTGTATGCTTTCCTTGTGGGAATGGCATGGCAGAAATACGCCTCACCTTCGACCTAGTCTCTCCCCCGTGAGCTTCATGCAATCTTTTTAGACGTGTGATCTCTGTAGAGAGTGGGAGGTTAGGTTTTGGCGGGGGCAAGGAGCTTGCGAAGTCTTCGTCACTTCTCACTCCTTTCGACACAGAGTTGGCTTGCCGATGGTATGGCAATCCCTGCAACCCATTATTTTCGGGTCCTCTGGACCCTCTCTCTGCTGGCTTTGCTCCAGGAATTGTGCCTGCCTTTATCGCAACAGTATCTTTCGTAACTTTTATAGCCTTGGGGCGTTTTTCTAATCCTTCGCGGCAGCAAAAATGCTTACATCTAACTTATTTTAGCACATGATAATCAATCAAGACTTGGCGTCTTACCTGGTCTTATCCCCGCATTTATGTTTACACTCCCAATTTCCATTCGGCAGTTGGTGGGCCTCCTGGCCTGCTTCCTCGGAGGCAGCACTCTCTTTCACTTCATTAGCATTGCTAGCAGGCATTCTGGCATTGGCTGCCGTATTTAGTCTAGTTTGATTGGTCAACGATTCGCCAAGACCCGCAATATGAGAGAAGTCAAGGTCTTCCACTACGATTCCCACGTACTATTAGCAAGTACTACCTGACTCGTCTTCTGTTGCTCTTACCAGCGGCAATGAATTCGGCATCCCCATATTCCTCCTCACCCCCAGGATGCTCTATAACCGCGCTGGAATCTATCGCATGACCATGGGGATTTTTTGGAGGTGATATAACCGCATTTCGTGGAAATAAACGAATATTTACTACCGGCTTAAGCACATGGGTCTTAATTGTGCCAACTAGATCCATAGTGTTACCATTGCCTCTTGTCGACTAGGGGCCCAACACAAACCTATATCTTCGCAAACTATGTGACACAAAACCCCTTGCTCTGGTGTTTCCAAATCAACCTTAAACTGAATAGTCTTTCCACCATCCAGCTTTGGGACACTAATGTATATGAGCACTCTGCCTGATAACACTAGTGGATGTCTTACGGAATCCTTCTAAAGTCGACCAAGAGGCCGTCTGAACGCTCAGCTAAAATATTTGCAAAAAGGAGGTTTCCGCGAAATCTCTCAGGCGGGTGACTGTTCAAGAATCCCAGCTCCGCCTTCACAACTAATTTTACAGGATCCCTCCCATTGCCGCTCTATCGGTCTTTCAAGTTAGCCCCACAGTTTAACACAAAACTCATGAGATGTCCGTTTGACATACCGCAGATATTTGGCTACAAAACACCCTAAACAAAGGGACCGATTGGGCTATCTTAAGCACGTTGGCCCCGAACGGGGGGTTCCGGGAGAGAGCAGTTTCAACCTTATGAGACTCAAGCCTCGCGAGCACCTCGAGATTTCTGATTCCTGCGTTTACCAACTTCTTGATTGCCACAGGCCCAAATCCTTCAATTTGACGCAACTGGCTTGGAGAATCCTCCCATGCCTTTGCTTTAAGTGATCTTCCTAGCTCTAGCGCAGCTTTCACCGTTGTTGCATCTTTCGAGCATATTCTGCAATCAATGATGCACCGAATGATCCGATGACAATGCTGAAAAACCAATGCCTTATCTTGTAACAGCGAGGTCTTATACTTTTGAAAGCCAGCTTCTGGCGGAAATTCCATCATTCCAATCTCGAACTAAGACACTGTTAGCCTCAGCCCACCTATATGCACTTGAAAAATTACCTGAATCACCAGTTGGACCTTGTGAGAACTATTCCACAAATCACCTTTTACTGGGAATCTCATCCCCGGTGACTTGTTCAGCTCTTTATAAAGCCCCTTCTCACCGCTTCGAAATCTTATTTCTTTAAATTCTTCTGCACTAGACAAAGCGACAAGCTTGGTTTTATCAGTAGTTGTTCCCCAAAAGTCGTGTGGAGTTATACCACATCCGATAGACCTGCTCGTTCTTGAAGATGCAGAATCGTTTTCATCGACCCAAATTTTACATAATATCTAGCCATTGCTAGTCCTAGTTCGGAGCACCTTAGTCGACCGCCCCCTGTTAGCACCAGTCCTTCCTCGGTCAAAAGTTTAATGTTCCTTTCGCATATCTCCTCCAGTCTCTCTTCTATATCCTGAATCCCCCCCTTCCCTGTTATCCCGTAGTGCGATGGATCCTTCTTCAAACGAACGTAAAGAAAGGTAGATCTCAACCACCTTTTTGCTGATTCGGCATTGGTAATAGTTCCCAAGCCTATCTCCGCATTCTGAAGCTAGTCAGTAACGTATTCCGCTGTTTAGTGATGTAACTTTACTATATGCTCCACTAAGTTCTCATGTAAACTTGAGTTAGTTAGCTTAAACGATCCCTTTCGTTTCACGGAGGGAATTTACCAGCTCTCAACGGTTTCGGTCCCGGAAACCATCTTTTCATATCTAACTCGATGCTCCCGCCTTGTCATTAAAACTGCTGCTCCGGTATCATCAAATTGTGGCCGGCCAGCCCTTCCTAGCATCTGCATCACCTCAAGATCCACATATTCTTTAGGGCCACCATTGGACCATGTTACCGTATTTTTTATGACCACAAGATGAGTAGGCAGATTAACGCCAACCGCCAACGTCGATGTACAGCAGATCACAGATAGGTGGCCCTCAAGAAAAAGCTTCTCGACCAGGGCCCTATCGTTCTGATCAAGTCCGGCATGGTGAAAAGCCACACCACATACACCAGTTGCATGTAGGTCCTTATCCTTGAAGGAGAATTGAATCGTTGGAGCTGGCCACATTCTATCTGCTGGTTTTACAGTGGAACAACATTGAGCGAGAACCTTGGCTGTGCTGATACACATAGCCCTGGTCATACAAAACACCATGATAGGCTTCCCCGCAGAGTGTTTCCGAATGACCTCTGGTAGTCTATCATTGCACGACTATGTTAATGCGAGTTCCCTGGACCCGCGAGCCTGATGAATGATTTACTTACGCTCTATCCAGTTTCTTATCAAATACGAAGTCATTGCCGGGAGATTGATATCCGTACACAAACTTCTGCAGCTTCACCGGCCGAAATTCTTCACCAAATCTTTGATCGTGGGCTGGGGATTGCGACACAGAAGAGCACTTTCCCAGCCACTCTGCGATATCGGCGGAATTTGGCACTGTGGCGCTTAGAGCTATGAATCGGACATCGGACCCAATGGACTTCATCCTGTTTCTTGCATGTTACATGGGAGACCGGTGATTTGTTTATTCTGGAATTACCTTGACACCACAACTTCTAAGGTTGCGCCACGGTCCTCCTTTAGGATATGAACCTCATCAATCTAATAAATTGTTAGTGACAAGCTCCCCATTACAAACCGATGGACTATTGGAAATACCAAAAACAGGCGGACCATCTCCAGCAGTTTCCTGTGGTCTTCCCATCGTCTCGTCATACTATCCCATTTCTCGGGAGTAGTCACAATAATGTCCCCATCCTTTACATTTCGTAATTGTGATTGTTGGGTATCACCTGTTAGCTCTGTGCATTTAAGACCAATCACGCTAAACCTCTTATCCCAATCTATCAATGAAGTAGTCAGTTTATAGAAAGATTTGGGCTAAATATGTCCCCCAAGCAGGGAGGAAAGGATCAATGAACCTTGTTTTCTTTCGCTGCAAAGGGCTTTTGTAGGCGCCTGGTAAACAATTTTATAACTCCCTGGTTGCATTTTGACTGAAAGTCGGCAAATTGCAAGCTCCAGGATCGCTGTCTTCCCAGATCCGGTAGGAGACGACAGGACAACATTGTCATCCGATTCATAAACCAGTGGAAAGCATTTCGACTGAACCGCATTAAATAGGGGGAACTGAAATAAGCCTCGATGTTTATCTGGCAAAATATTGACAGAGAGTAGAGAGACTCCTTGCACCATCGGAGGAGCATGGGAATGCGAGATTGTTCCTGAGGGTGCTGAAGACACCTTGGCAGCAGGGGCAGCTCTGAGAGGAGGCCTAAAACGTGATTCTGTGGTGTCTCCTACTCCACGGATTCCAAGCAGCCTTCTGGGCCCACGGGATGTTGCTCTTCGACGGGGTTGGCTGCTTGGAATCTCCCATGTTGCCTCAGCGGTCGAGGAAATGCCGACACTGTGACCGAAATGTGGGCTTTGCTGACTCGAGAGAGGTACATCTGTTAGGTATCAGCTCCCGATACTTCTCAGTCATGGCTTTCGTTGTCTACTCGCCAGGCACTAAAGTTCCACTCAATCCTACATTCTCCCAGGTGGGATTCCTTCGGCCACCGTCCCTATAAGAGCCCACTACCCCGCCTTGTAGGGGATATTCAGTATTATATCCCCGAGACGGTACCCCCCCTAGGCCCAAACCCAACGCAGAGGCCTGTTCTATGGCATCCCGAGGTCTCATCTGCACCCTGTTCCGTCCAGTGTCCACTAATTGCTGACTAGCCGCTAAACCCATTGTTACTTGTCAGGAGAAGTCCATTTTCCATCATCACGGATGTGGCAACCCACTATATCTGCTCAAATCCTCCCAACTTTGCATCGGCCAATACCGACTGTATTCTCGTGGCTGATGGGAGACGTCAAAACTAAATCCAGATTCTTGCCGAGAGGGGCCAGCATCATATTCTCTGCCAGTGCTATCCCTAGGGGCTTCGTCCCCGAGAACACCCATCAGCTCATCGAACAAGTCTTCCATGAGAGTAGAGTTGGGAATATTGAAAACTATCTCCCCAGGGCAGGAAAGCGTTAAACAAGAAAGAAGTGAGGTGATTATTGGTCAAAAAGAGATGGCATCATTGAGGACGAGAGCACCCCACTAACCCCCTTGCACCGGGTCGACCGGTGGCTGGTCTCACGGGTACTCTGGGAATGAGTATTCCTGGTGGGAAACCGATATCGAGTGATATCACGTGCATCTCCTGCCATGCGGATAAGGACATCTACCTGTTCTCCTGGGCTGGTATCCCCTGTATCACTACATGCACTGCCATAGAGGTCGATGGTTTGTAGATTGTACCAGTCTTACAAGGAAAATAATGAGGGTTGACCGGCAATGAATACTACACAGTTGGTGTTACGGCAATCCAGATGTCAGGTATGGCGCAAAGGCTTGAACAATTGGGCGTTGCGCTATGCAGTCCAAAATTCCCTTCTCTGGAAAGGGGGCAAAAAAGACAGTCAACTCACATCTCCTTTCCCCCTTCCAGGATAGAGAAAAACGAAAATCCCTTGACATTAATAGGAGGAAAACCCAACGACATAGCACACCGTCCAAGTATATCCAAGTTTTTACGGTATTCATAGAGATGACAGAAGCGATTGTCTCTTATTAGAGGCACCATGAGCGAGAGTAGTTGGTAATGTGCATAAGTTATACGACCCCCCCCCCGCGTATATGATACTTTACGACAAACTTCTTCAGTGTAGAATAGGCTATCAATCACGTTTGTTTCATGTTGCATGCCAAATTTTCTTAAATATCCAAGCTGGATGTTTACGACAGCCCCAGGACTTGCCACGCCGCAAATATGTTAGGCCTTACTGTGATATCTACTCTGAGTAAAAAATCGCAGCATTTACCACGGCGGCCTAGGATACGTTGAGCAACCCCAGTGGAGGCAAATCATTGACAATACACCGCTCAATTCAAAGTTACCCTACCATACAAGATGCCACCATCTATTATCATATCATACCCCACCATTTAATCATCGCACCTCGACAACTGCTAGATTTCTATGACAATACCCCGATCTCGCTACTCACGATAAACGGGATATACGGCTTACCCCTACCCACACAGCTACCATGCCCCCAGCACTCCCCATACCTGCCTCCAAGCTCTGCGAATCCTGCCTCTCCGCCCGAGCCCTAATTTCCCGGCCCAAAACCCACCAAAAGCTCTGCAAGCCCTGCTTTCTCTCCACCTTCGAGTCCGAAATCCACGCTACAATAGTCAGCACAAACCTCTTCACGAAAGGAAGCCGTATTGCAATCGGGGCCTCAGGGGGCAAAGACAGCACCGTTCTCGCCAGTGTGCTAAAGACACTCAACGAGCGGTACGACTATGGTGTCGAGTTTGTTCTGCTAAGTATTGATGAGGGGATTAAAGGTTATAGGGACGACTCCCTAGAGACAGTGAAGAGGAACGCGATTCAGTATGGGATGGAGTTGGTTATTGTCAGTTATGAAGAACTGTATGGGTGGAGTATGGACTCTGTTGTTGAGAGCATTGGGAAGAAAGGGAATTGCACTTATTGCGGGGTGTTTCGACGGCAAGCGTTGGATCGGGGGGCCGAGAGGTTGGGTATTCATCATGTGGTTACGGGGCATAATGCGGATGACATTGCGGAGACAGTATTGATGAATTGTACTTACCTTCGCATTTCCATCTTGTCGAGTTCTTTGGCTGATTCTTTTGCGTAGTATTACGAGGCGACCTCCCCCGACTCCACCGTTGCACATCGATAATCACATCCTCCACATCCTCACCCATAGCGCGCAGCAAACCTCTTAAGTACGCTTATGAAAAAGAAATTGTCCTCTACGCACTACATAAGAAATTAGATTACTTTTCGACAGAATGCATATACTCACCCGAAGCCTTCCGTGGCAGTGCAAGAACGCTGATTAAGGCGCTTGAGAAAGTTCGCCCATCGGCTATCCTCGACATCGTCCGGTCAGGCGAGGCGTTTTCCAGGATGATACCTTCACAAGCCCAAGCGTCAAGCCCCAAGTCACCCCAGAGATCCGGTGTGGGAACCGATATTGGAGGCAGTGATGCGGGATGCAATAATGGTGGAGCAGGGCGATCATCTGGTGGTGAAATGGGAGATATGGAGAAGGCGCTCATAGCCGAGATATCCGGCCTGGAAACTTCAATTACTCCTGCGTCTATTGCTCCGGGAAAACTGAAGAACACGAAGCAGACTCCTAAGAAAATTCGCGAGCAGAGGATGTCGAACTGTGCTCGTTGCGGGTATTTGACCTCACAGAAATTGTGTAAGGCTTGTACCCTATTAGAGGGTCTGAACAAAAATCGGCCCAAAACGATAGTAGAGGTTGAAGCCGGGATCGAAGATGAAGAGGTTAGCTCGAGCCTGTGGCGTGGGATAGAAGCTATAAAGTTGGTGGAGGAAGGAATTGCGAATTGAAATATGTTACGTGGCTACGATGCAGTGCATACAGGAATTAATCTCAGAGATGCTAGTAAAAATACACTTTCCACGCGTTGAGTTAACTAGGCTAGAGTATCGGTATTTCAAAAGAAACATGTACCGTACGATATGGTAAGACGGATAGATAGGATTCTGGTGCTATGGTTCCGCTCGGGATAAACCAACAAGAGCTTTTTTAAGAGGAAGAGGTCCAGGAAAAAGTTAATAACTACCTCAAAGCTGCAAAGGCTTAAATTCTGAAAAGACTACAATGTAGTCAAGAGGTCTGTCTACAATGCCTATTTCTTAGAAAATTGTTATTGTGATTATTCAGAGTGCTGTAGGCTTTTGAAAATCTGTCACTTTCAGTCCAAGTACTTAAGTAAATAACATATCATCATAGATTTTGGGTTAGAAGATGCTTGGTATCATGCCTTGAAAAATATTTTATAGAGAATTGGTGAAAGTAGGTGTGGCTTATATGATACTCATATGTACCTAGAAATGTTTAGTAGTTTATTTCTTCAATAAGGTTGAGGTCATATCTATTTTCCTGAAAGTCGAGCGAGTATCGACTCGTTCCCCGTCCGTCCAGGTGTTTTTTTTTTTTTTTGGGGGGGTGGCCCCAGCTAGATGTTGCACACTACTACTGTACTAGTACTGGCAGTCTAGCTCAGTACTCTACTCGAGTACCGTACTCGAGTATGGTACTGTCATTCCTCGGCTGGGGGGGTGGCGTTCTTCCCGGGAAATAGCAGGGAGATAAATGATTGACCCAAGATGGAGGATGGACCAGTTCTCTGGTAGCCTTGAAGTTGTTTCTATTAGTCTCTCCAGGAATTATCATTCTTACCTCTTCAGGTTTGATCACAACAATCGGTAGTAGGCCTCCAGAAAGTTTGCAGAATAGTTAAGGATAGGTAGTAGATGAAAATCGATAATGCCTGTATATGGGAACAATAGAAATTCACAGGTCAATGATCCCTCAACTCAGGAACTGAAAGCCCCTTATAAACTCAGAGACTTCCTGCTGCTACTCAGGGGTGTTTGAAAATATTCGTATCTATTTGTAACGATCCCTACTCAGATAGTTAGTTCTTGGTAATGGGGAATGATACTTCTCTTCTTCTTATATTTCTTTCCTTAGTCTTACGATAGCACAAGGCCTCTGCCTACATTGCCGATAGTACAAGACCTTTGTCTTCTATCAGGAATGCCTATCGTAAGAGAAGAACTCTAACTCTTCTTCATGAAGAGCTTTCTTTGGCGTAATGATAACGTTGTAATAAAGATAAAGATCGTAAAGGTGTTTTATATTCGTTAAAGTAATAAGTAGGAAAAGTACTTAGAAATCAATCTAATTTTATTTAAACTCGTACCGCCAACACTGGCATATGATGAGCCCCCGCCAGCACAGGGATACCGCTAACCGGTATACCACTAATCCTAGGCTAACTAAGTCTACGGTCCTGCACCTGCCATCCCCGAGTCATGCCCACACAGAAACTAATTACAAGACCATCAATCAACCCAGCGCCCACCCCAGTTTAAGTCCGTAGCCCCTCTGGTATGAAGCCAACCAGTACTAAGCATAGCCAAAGCCGAGCAAAAGACCAACCCAACCAGGTTCCTCATCCAACAAATATAAAATCACTACTACCCGGCCTGAACACCATCCCACAAAACCTCCTCCACAGTAGAAAACCAACAAAACCAAAACAAATATAAACAACAGGCGATACAATGGCAGAGAGGAGGTAACCAACATGTCCACCTCTCGCATCCACATGCCAGGCTGTTGATCCTATGGACCCACTTTGCCAAGTGCCTCCGAAGAGCGTAATGGTGAGGAGGACCTGTACCCGCTGCCTGTCACCCAAAACAAACTCATAAATAAAAGAAATACATAGAGGTGGTGACAGACCTAAACGGCTAGTGGGGCCTATCTCCCACCCATGGTGCCTTGTCCCTGCCAGCTATGCCCATTGTCAGACCAAAGAAACCAAACAAACTCCACAAAACCCAGCACGCAAGACCCAAACAAGTCCAACCAGGTGGTCACAACCCACTATCCGCACAGGTGGCCATCAGCCAACTGGTCCATCGGGGAGCCTTACAGCATTCAGCAGCTTCGCCCAACAGCCCAAGCCGGACTGGAAACACTTCATTAGACATTGCCCAACCTGACACATGCCCAACCAGTGCTCGCAGGTGCCTCTCTCCCCCCAATCAGCCACCCCAAGCCCCACATACCAGGCACCACAGAGCCCATCCAGCCCCCTCAGCCCCTCAGACAGATCAACCATCCGACAGCCACAGGACAGCTATACCTAACCCTATTAGGCAGCCACTGGTCTTGGCCATGCCAACGGAACCACAACTCTTGACTCCATATAGCTGAGGGGAGTCCACCAGCTAAAGCCGGGAGCCACAGAGGAGGCAGCACCAATACCTGAAGGCACCAGCACCAGCCACACCATCCAACCCAACCGAACCGAAATACAACCGAGTTGGAAAAAAGGTAAGCAGAGCCAGCCAAAGCCAGCCCCACAGGTCTGACAACAGGTACGGACCAAACAGGTAAGAGGCATCCCCAACTGACGCGACAAGAAGGGGGAGGGTGAACGAACAGAAGCAGACAAACGGAAGGTAGGCCCCACTTGCAATAGATGAAGCCGCCAACCACAGACCACAACCGAACCACCCAACCATACAGACAACGCAAGTGTCTGGCAGCCAATCGTCCCATACCACCCCAGGTAGCAAGAAAAGACCACACCAGGGGGTAAGATTTTTCAGAGTCAAAGCCATCCCCACTGTAGCGAGGAGGTAACACCTGGCTGAACCACTATATATGCTGCAAGGACAAAACTTCCAAGGGAATGGTGATAAACAACATCGTAGGATTCCGACCGTAGAAACATATAGTAACGAGGAGGGGTGGGGCCGGTGAGGCCCCCTCTCTAGTGGATTGATGCGGCCAGTATGACGCGTTGAAACTTGGGAAGGTCATCAGTCTAACCCAAGGGCGTTTTGTATCGCTAGAACTAAGGACTCCATTAAAATCCAACAAATATGAGCTGGCTCAAAGAACGACATGAGTGATCCCCCCAAACACAATGTTCAATCCCCTCAATCGAACGCGAAACCTGCGAGTAGATGATAGACAGGAAGCCGTAGACATTTTACCAAAAGGGGCTTGTATGCGACCGTGATGAAGTGCTCGAAGTGCCAGTATCGTGAGATAACCAACCCAACGAAACGAGACACAAACAAGTTATCCGCCACGTAACGCAAACAGACCTCAATACCAAAGACCCCAGGAAATACTGAGTGGACTCGGATATCTCCCCCAGAATCCAAAGCATCAAGGCTCATCATGAGTGCGAAAGAAACGCTTGGGGCGAAGCGACAGCAAGGACGAGGAAAAGTACTTAGAACAAAGCGTGAAGAACCTATCCTCCTTGGCCGCATCGGCCTCCTTATATAGTGTTCTTCTCACCCATAGTCATGTGACCCAAAGTGGTCACATGCTCAAAACCCATGACCTCGTAGCAAGGTCATGTACAAAAACTCATAAACTAATCATAACCAATAAACAAGTCATATGACTCAACTGAGTTACATGCATGAAATCCATGACTTCATAACAAGGTCATGTGCGAAACATAAATCATATGCGCACAGTATACCCGCAAGGCATACTCGCGAGGTATACTCTCCAGGCGCATGTCTCATGACTCATAATCAAGTCATGTGTGAAATATAACAAATTATAACATAATAAGTCATATGACCTAAATGAGTCATACGCGTGAAACCATAACATACCTATAACTCATAATCACGAGTCATGTGAAAACCTTTTCTGTGCCAAGCCACATTTGTAACACTATTGTACTAACTATTGTGATAATGAAGTAACAATGATAACCATAATAAAATCTGAAGACTTAAAGATTAATCCAAGCTTGTGTGCTCTTTCTAAGAACCGGGCTGAACCTGCCCTTTATACCCCTTTATCATTACATGAGCACTGCCTTATACGAAGGAAATCTCTAGAAGATGCTAGAATACAATAGTATATATACTCGGTCATGTGGCTGTGTCACATGACCAACACAGCCCCATCACCGGATAGGAAAGGAATAACGTAATTTCCAACAGTGTTCTATTCTTCATTCTCTTGCTCTTGGGAATCCCCTGAACTAGCTACATATAGGGGTAGCCCCCTTACCCATAGTTTCTCTAAGTGCTGACGACGATACCTCGCAGTTATATACTGACAACACGTAACCACCCCTCTCTGTCCATCCTCGCACCTAACAGTACTCGTACGGTAGTTGTAAGTAACACTTGAGGCTCAAATGGCCCCACTCGCCTGTCAGGAATAAAGTTGGGGCGCCAACCAGGACCCTGGGGTGTGCTTGCCTGCAGGGTCGGCAATACAAGGATAAATAAATTATATTGAATGCCTGCAGCAACCCGGCCCAAACATTCTACAGATAGGGGTTTCAGGATAACGTTACCTGACAACCACCTTCACCTTTACAGTACCCCCTTCCTCCCTCCCTACCCCAATTGACCACCAGGAAAACGTATACTCGAGTACAATAATATTATTGCCATACGTGAGGGAGCTCAAATAGCGGGTGCGAAGTGATAGTGATGTCGGAGAAAACTCAATTCTATTTTCTGCTCACAGGGACCAATAGGTATACTCCCGTTCTCAAAACTTCCCATTCTGCTGTTTGCTTGATTGACCAACGTTCCTCAAGCGGCCTCGGCCTCTCCCTTGCCCACCGGCTACTAGACAACTTCCTAACTACGCACCCGGAAAACCACCACCTGACACTAATCATAACCACCCGCTCGCACGGCAAAGGCTCGGCTACTCTCGCACTCCTTAACAACCACCTCCGCACCCGCAATGTTCCTAACCCGCGTTACACCCTCGCCCACCACTCCGTCGACCTCACCAACCTCGTTTCCGTGCACTCCCTTGCCCAAACCCTACGCAGCACCTACCCACACCTCGATGCCATAATTCTGAATGCTGGAATGGGCTCCTTCCTCGGCATCAACTGGTTGAACTGCTTCATATCGCTCGCCAAGAACTGGATCCAGGCTCTCACGGTGCCCACGTTCAAGATCCAGGACGTGGGCTGGACGACGGTGCAGGGGGCGCCATTAAGCGGTGAAGCGATACCGACGGTGTTCGCGGCGAATGTGTTTGGGCATTACTTCCTCGTGCATGAGGCTATAGACTTGTTGGCCGGGGGTAACGGGCGGATTATTTGGACGTCTTCACTGGAAGCGCATCCGTGGACGCTTTCCATTGATGACTTGCAAGGCGTGCGCGCGAGCCATTCTTACGAGAGTAGCAAGCGCCTCACGGATGTTTTGGCGTTGACGTCCGGGTTAGAGTGCACTTCGCCATTTACCGCTTCATTTTTTTGCCGGAAGCAAGTTGATTATACCGTTGAAACCGAGAAGAAGCAAAATCAGCAGGTTCCAAAGATGTACGTCTGCCACCCCGGCATCTGCGGGACGAGCATCATCCCCCTCAACTTCATACTTTTCAACTGCATGCTCCTCGCCTTCTACATTGCGCGCTGGTTCGGCAGCCCCTGGCATACCATATCCACCTACTCCGGCGCGAATGCCGCCTCCTGGCTGGCCCTCGCGTCGGACGACGAGTTGGAGGGTATGCAGGCTCAGGAGATAAAGTGGGGCAGCGCATGTACCAGATCTGGTAAGCAGATGGTGAAAGTTACCCATGTCGAAGGTGAGGAGAACAGACCCGAGTTTGAGGAGCTCGGTAGAGAGTGCTGGAAGCAAATGGAAGAGTTGAGGATGTCGTGGAAGGAGAAACTGGAGAGGGCCACGAAGTAAGCCTTCAGGTCTATCATATTTTTGAGAAGCAGCCCTTCTTGCTTTTTCTGGGTATCTTGTTTGTTCTTGGGAAATGGTTTCTACTTGCTTCTTTTTCCTTTGCTCTCTTAATTCTTTGTCCCATTGGCATAATAGCAATTTTTTCTTCTTCCTTTTTCTTTCTTCCCGACAGAAATGACATTTTGTAATGAGCAATAGCCGGATCCTGTGAATCATGACCGTCGACTCAGCTGCCTGCTGCCATACCGCCTTACATCTTACTACTAGAGTCCCAGATTTACTGTACTAGTACTGTACTCTACCTGTTCACAGTCGAACGAGCGAACTTACCACCACATCCCTAGTGCACAAATAAGGACGGGAATGTGCATAAAAAGTTCAAACAAAAACCTCCGCCACGGGACTTGTACAGTACTGTACTGCGCGCTCAGCCCAAGTAACCGTCCCAATAGAGACGAATAGCTAGTGAAAAAGGGCCGTTGTCTGGACGCTAATTAAATGCTTTCGACCGCACCGTGCTCAGTAGAACCCCACCACACAGGGTGACCGGGAAAAATCCAAACTATTGACCGTGCTCGAGTACAACCATGATACATGTTTTACAGTATTTTTTATTGCTCACCAAAAAAGACCCAGGTCTCCCAAAGAACACTCAAAGCGGAAACAAGTTCCAAACGAAAATCGCCAAGACCTCTCACCCCTCCCCTTCCCTTTCCTATCCCGGGCTTTTTGCTTTCGGCTGCCTTGACCCTCAGGAGCAAGGTGGTTACCCTGTTTGGATGCACCGAATAGAGTATCGCCTCAGTTGGCAGTGTCGCTGACGGACCTGACCAAACCACAGAGCCCCATCTGCTGTGGCTGCCCCATCACCGTTCTCCGCCTCTTTCATACAGCGCACACTTCTCCCTGTTTTTCCTTCCCCTACCTACCCTCATTCTTGTCTGTGCCTGTCGCTTGCTTTCCCATCTGCCCTTTTGCTCGCAACGGTGCCGGTTGACCACAGCTGTCTGGTATGGTGCACCGCGCTCGCGCATTCCCGGGTTTGAATGTTTCATTACGATCAGTTGGATATTATTACTGTTCTTACAATACAGCCTCCCATTTGTGACAGAATTCACTTTAACTCCCCACCGAGATACTTTACGTCCAAACATCCAGCCTTTGAACTTTAGTTCACCCTTCCATCATGTTGAACGGCATGGGCTCCGCAAAGCCCCTCTACCCTCCCACAAATGACTCTGACCGTACTGGTGGTCCAAGATACACGGCGGCAGCTACCAGTAGCTGTCCACCCTCGCATATTCTCGAAAAGCATTTCTCATCGCCAAGCGAAGAGTCCCATCCTCGATTTAATGCTGTGAGAATGACCTCTCCTCTACTCCCCTCCCCGCCTTTTTTTATTATTCGATTCGTTTTGCTTTTTTTCATTCTTGCTTCGCTTGTAGTGTCGTTGTGACCACTTAAATTTTCATTGAATTCGTCTGAAAATAGCAGTTGCCTAACGTTCTCTTTCTTCTAGTTAAATAAGACGCGGCCGCGATCGTCGGCACTACTGAACGTTAACGATCCCATGGCAATGCATTTGTTGGTTGAAACTGCTATTGTAGATTCTACCGAGTATGAAATTCTTTCTTATGAAGAAGTGGACGAGCTCAAGAAGGAATACAATTTTCTCGCCAATCGCATTGACGCATCAAAACGAAAGCTTGCCCTAGAATCCAAGGTTCGCGATGCCGCCTTATCCCTAAGCAGGCTCTACTCGAAGAAGGGCAGACAACGGCGGTCCTTGCTGGGCGGTGTCAGTGATGTTACAAAGCATACCGACGAGGAATTAATGGCAAGCAACAGGAAATGTGAGGAGTTGTCTCAGGAACTTTGGCGATTGAACAATAGGGCGGTGGAAATACAACGAAGATTGCTGCAACATGGAGCCGGAATCCTGGGCATGACACACCAGGGTGGCATCAAAAATCTCCCCAGGCTTCCACCCTCCCCGAACTCCCCTTCTGGCACTTTTAGTTCGGTCAACAGGAGGGGTACTATGTCTTCCATGAACGTCGAATTCGATGACCGTAGCTTTTACCGGACACCCGATAAGCTGGATGAATTTGGGTTATATGATCAAAGCCCACCAACCGACAAAAACAGCAGGTTTCAGCGCGGAGACGTACATCCTTCCCGAAGAGGTTCCGTTCCTAGTGACGACTCATATACTGCGCGCCGACTGGAGGAGGCCAACAACCAGCTGCGGACTGTGCTGACCCAGCTTACCACTAACCAAGGCCTGCCTTCTCCTGGCCATGTCCCTGCCAACGGTACCTTGAATGGCACTCGCTTGCCCGACCAACTCACCCTATTAGAACAGAACATCAAAGTTCTGCAGAAAAGCAACTTTCATCCTCCCCCGAGTCCCGGAAAACCCAAATCAGCCCATGATCTGGAAAGAACCGAGGCCATACTATCGACCTTGTGGGACATGTTGGTGATGGGCGAAGAAGAAATTCGGAGTCAGCGGAGAGCAGTAGGGTATGATCCAGCTGTGGAAGAGCATTCCAAGTCGGGGGATGAGCTTGGTGATGAAGAAGTTGGAGAATTCTCAATATCAACTTTTTCGGCAAAAGTCCAGGCGCTTTACACCCGGGCCACACAACTTTATACCGAGAGATCACTTCTGCGACAGAAGGTTTATCAGCAGCGAGTGCACTTTGAAACCGAGATTCAAGGCCTAAAAGAGCAGCACCATGCCAGGGTAGATAATCTCAGTGAAGATCTTTCGACACTCACTAGCCAGCTAGAACAATTAGCAAACATCATTGACCAACGGGAAAGTGACATCATAACAGCAAACGGAAAAATAAAGAACCTGATGAACGATCTAGATGTAACTCATGCTCAAGTGCAGGAGAAGAGAGAGGAGGCTAGGAATGCGAGGGAGGAACTCACTGCAGTAATGGAGCAACTAGATATTCAGCGAAGAAAGGACCAACAGAGAATCATGGAGGACAATGCTGGGCGTGGGAAGGACTCGATGGCGCTGGAGGCTGAGAAACGGGCTAGGGCGGAGGCAGAGGAAGGATTCGTTACTCAGATTAGGGAGAAGGAGAAAGAGCTCGCAGAGCTCCGAATCCAGTTTGGCGAAGTGAAAGAGGATAGAGATATTACCAAGGCAGAACTCGACGTTCTGACCAGAGAGAGTGATGGGCGGTTGCGGAGGTTAGAAGGGGAAATTACGGCTTTGAAGGAGTCTACGAGAGACGTAGAAGAAGGAAAAGAACAATATTTGGAGAAGGAAGCGGTGGTGAGAAAGGAAATGGCGGAGAAGGAGCAGCAGATGGTTAAGATGGATGAAGAAATGAGGGGATTGGAGGGCAAAGTTGCGGAATTGAGTACTGAGGTCGCGCTGCTTAAGGCTGAGCTTGATTCGGCCTATGGGTCGAGACAACAAAGGGCGGCAGAGACAGCGCAGGCCCAAGCTGCCGCGGCGGCTTTAGAGGCGGCAGGCAAGCGGCCACAGGTTGTAGATCCTGGTCTTCTGCAGGAAGTTGAAGCTCTCTCTATGAAAAACCATGAGTTGATGGTAGAGATTGCTCAACTGAAAGCGGGGAAGACCATGCCAGCAGCCGACAGCAACCTCGAAAAACGTTGCAAGCTCCTTCAAAGCGAGCTCGATGGCATGCTTGCTGATTTCGAAAATCTCACTAAGCAAGCAATCGAGTTTGAGAATGAGCGTATGAAGCTGGAAACCCTCGTCGATGGGCTTCGGACTAAATGTGAGAATCTCGAAACGAACTTGGCTGACGAAAGGGTCCGCTGGTTGGGTGTTCGTGCTCCTAATGATGGAAAGCTCAGTGGAAGACATACCGGAGATGTTCCGGGGGAAAACACAAGCACGACAGTTCTCAAGAATGAGTTCAAGAAGATGATGAGGGATATAACGTGGCCTAATGGCCGCGTCAGACTCAAGCAGTCATAATGCCTACCCC